AATACGCCCGAAAAGAGATGCGGTATGAAAAGGCCGGACGGAAAAGGCAGACGGGAGTGTGCGCTCAACGCTCACAGTGCCAGACGGGGCCCTCTGGCTGAAGCCGCCGTTCAGCCGGCAAACCCAGCTCCTCCTGAAGGCATCGGGGACTACAATTCCCACCAGGCAGGAGCAAGCAGCTGTGCTGGGCTGTGCAGGGCTCATGGGAGTCGTAGTCCAAGGAACCGGGCAGGGACCATAGGTCATCCATCTGAGCTCTCAGTCAACGGGTTTGGGGACCGGACCCTGGGTTCGAGAACTCTCCTCTTTTTAAATTAGCAAAGACCAACACCCCCCACCCCCTGATGTCGCTTGTACCTCTGAGATCGGCGTCCAGGACTCCTCGGTCGTCTTTGGCAACCAGCGGAGACTGGGCACCCAGCACACCGGATAAGGCCAGCAGCCCCGAAGCCCCACTGAGGGTGGCAAGGCTGGCCGACTGGAGGCTGGAGGCGTGCGGGGTTAGCGGGATGGGTGGCGCATGATGAGAGAGGTGCTGCGCCTGCAGCTGATGCTGGTGGAAGACAGGATTTTGGTGAGGGGGAGAAAGCATCAGAAAGGGGCATGCACAGAAGATCTCGAACTCAGCCCTTTAAGCCAGGAGAGCTGGGTTCGAAAGTTCATTCTCTTCACCTCCGTTTCGGGAAGGACCTGAAACCTGCAGTGGCGCCTGCTCTGACCTCACCCACCCACTTGAAGCGGGAGTCACTGGCATGGAGAAAGTTGCAGGTTCAAATCCTGACACCTCCGGGATTAGAGAAGGAACTTGCCCGGAGAGCATCGGTCGATCCCCGCAGCCAATTTCGATCCGCCTAAACCGACAATGACATTTCTTTGGGTGCCAGGAAAGCTGCAATATATCAGCTTGAGGACTAGCACATTGGAAAATTAAAACTACTGTAGATGGTTTTAATGTTTATGGAAAGGATGGCAACTCTGGAGCGCACGGCAGCGTCAGTTCCCAGACTGTGGCAGGATTGGATCCAATGGGAAGGAGAACAGGAATCTGGAGCCCTGGAGCCTCTGGTTTTTCCACTCACATCCACCACCCACGCGTTGGGGGGGGGGCTTGCATCTCGACTCCTCCCTTTCCTACCCCATACCAGTGCTCAGGCCCGGATGGCGCAGGCAGTCTGCACAGCAGGGTGCGGGAGGCCTGTGGGAGCATCAGCAACCCACAAACTCCCATTTTCCAACAGAGGGGACTACGCTCCGGGTTTCAGCCTGAACATGACAAGAGCCCTTCAAAGCAGAGTCAGTGCCCTCCCAGCAAGAGAAGCTTGACAGAGAGTCCAAGCCAGTGAAGGATAAGACTTCTTGATGTACTTGTGCACACGTATGTGTGTGTGTCTTTTTGTCCCTCTCCACCCCCAAATTCTTCCATTTTGCTCGTTCTTACTGCAAATCCCCTTTTCTTTCATTGTCTGTTTTCTTGCTTGCTTTTTTTTTTTTTAAGTACACGGAATTTTGACAGAGCCATGAAACTGGGTCAGGTTTCTCTCCCTTGCCTTTTAAATTAAATATCACCGGTTCGTGTTGCAAACACACACACACACAAGTACATCTATGTGGAGCTTTTCCAGAAGTCAGCCAGCTGCAAACTGGTGGCTTCCCTCACTGGTTAACCCACATTGCGGTCTGCAGGCTTCCAGATCTAGGCTTTGCCAGCTGTCCCTGCGCGCGCGGCACACACACATTTTTCACTCCCTCGCTTCTCACAGCTTCCCACTCAGGGACATACCCTTTTAACACTTCCAGGTCCCTCCCTCCCTCCCCTGAGCTTGGCCTAATCCGGTCTTCCCTGAACTCATTCCATTGAGTGGAAGCAGGAGCTAAGATTGTGGCTCACGGCTCAGAGTCAAGAAGCAGCTAACTGACCTCTGTTCCTTTTCTCTGCGGGGCGTCACGGGTGGATGGCTATCTTCCTCATTTGTAAAGCTGGGATTGTGTCCAACCCTCAACACACTGCCTCTCTTTTCCCCTTACAAAGATTGTCTGGAATCCTATTGCTTGAACTTACACCACGGAAGGCAGACAATGTCACCAGTGGCATTTCCCCCTGCCCCCACCCCCGGAAATTAAACATTTCCGACTTCTTTTCCCAAACTGGCCATTTTTGGAAATTTTCACCCCATCCCAAGGTTTCTGCAGGTTTTTGGGGATGAACTGGATCATCTGGGACCTTCAGGGGAGAAGTTAGAAATGTGTGACTTTTGGAAAAGCCACAGCTGCTGACATCATCAGCCTTATGCAGTGTAAGTGAAAGCGACAGGATTTCAGCGAGCTAGCCGGGATTTTGCATGGACGTTAAGAGGAACTGCATTAAGTCACCCAGCTTATTGATGGGGTGCCCGGAAAATGACAGGTGGAAAATATCTGGAAAATGATCTGGAAGGGTGACTGTACATGTTACCAGCAGGCCTCTGACAGAGTAATTTCTCTTGCCCCCATGTCAGTTCTGCATTCTGGTAATCACATTGCAGAAATAAATTTCCTGCAGAAAGCAAGCACTATGCCTAGCCTAGCCTCTGGCTCCCCCTTGTGGCAGTTCTGGTAACTTCATCGTTAAAAAATATATTTTGGGATTTTTCTTTTACTATTTTCAGATCGTGGATAAGACAATCAGCGGATCCTGATCTGTGGATAAAGGGGATACTAACTGTGCAAAGCCAAAACTGAAAGCCTTCCAGCGCTTGGGGGGGGGAGGGGAAGCCAAGTGGAAAAGTGTTCGTTTAAGACTGCACATT